TTTTTTTTTTTTTTTTTTTTTATTTTTTTTTTAAAGACTTATTGACTCAAGTTCCACTTTAACCAGCAATACAATGTACAGTATTTCGGTCATATCCATTTTTCCTCAGGGTATTGCTCTGCCAAGAGACAGCTCTGCATGGCATACTGGCACAGCCCTTTTCATCTCAATTGACTGTAATGCATTTTTCTTTTTGAGTTCCTCTTTCATTTGCTTGTCCAATTCTTTCACTTCTCATGCAATTCTTTCACTTCTCATGCAAGTGTCCAGACTGCCGGATAGTTGAGTGGTTGCAACTCTACTTCCAAAATCATCTTTTGACTTTTATTTCAGCTTTCCCACCTATTCCTGTTTTAACCCAAAATTTGAGATTTTCTTTCACTTTCAGTGATAACTGCCACTGAAAGTGAAAGAAACTGTGGTGACAAATAGGGAGGGTGAATATCCCAAACGGTTACATAGACAGCAAAATAAACCTGACCGGTATTCTAATCCCTCTCCAATGGTTGTTTTTTAAAATCCTTTCCGATCTACAGATTTCATTCAAATAATGCCTGTTGATCCTGCCATGAAGGTCCTTGTTTTGGGGGGACCATGGTCTCCCAATTTGTTTTATTTATACTCTTGCATTTTCACCCTGTCAAATGCTTCCCCCAGTGGAGACTAAGTGACCGTGCGCAGACATGGTCCACCGTTGTCCACGTCAGGAAGCCGGTCCAGAGTAATGATGTGCAGGCTTCGCTGGAGCCAGTGCATGTAGACAGCAAGTGGCTGAGAGGTAGAAGATAGAGGAAAAAATAAGTGAAAAAAACGTATATTAAAAAACTTCAATTTTGTTTATTGCACACAATGCACAGAGCAAGCTAAATGTCATCCAGTTATCGTAAATGAGACCGAGCAATGCGCCAACTGTGCTAACCCACAGTGACTGGTAATGGACCTCTTTTCATTTTCCTGTTGGAATCTGCTTGCTATTGGTTAGTGCACTCCAAACGTCATTGATATTTCTGGCATTAGGAAACTTCTTTAAGTCTACCTGTGCCTTTGTTTGTTTTTATGTCAGACATTGCAACCTAATAATTAACTTGCAGGTAGCGACTTAGGAGTGTGGCATGCGGTACTTGGCGCTTCATGCTGCAGAATTCATTCGCTATTAGCAAATTGTATATCTGTGCAGCTGCCGTGTCTGCCTTTCTATATTTGTAATTGATACAATCTCAGTGCCCTTCCAACAAGTCCAAATACCATGGACAGCTGCCATACTTCTGTATTTTATTTATGCCTTCATTCCTGGAGCAGGAGGATTGTAAATTGCAAGCTTTCAGTGATATTATGTAA